GCAAGAGAAAAACATCAAGTTACCTACAAAGGACATCCCATCAGGCTAACAGCAGATCTCTCATCGGAAACAATGCAAGCGAGGAGAGAATGGGAAAATATATTCAAAGTGTTAAGAGAGAAGCAATTTCAGCCAAGAATACTGTACCTGGCAAGATTATCTTTCAGGTGGGAAGAAAAGACAAGAACATTCTCAGATAAAACCTGAAAGAATTTACCAGCACCAGACCAGATCTCCAAGAAGTTCTCAAGGGTGTGCTATATCAGGAAAATTAAACACAGACACATGGAATTAAGAGTCCAAAAACTAAGAAAGTAGCCAACTTAATCATAGTGACAAGTTTGGAGTTGAATATTATATCCCAGAATTTAATCAGGAAAATTGAACCAGAACAGAAGATAAAAGTACATGAGACTGATAGGTTCATGCACCTACCATTTGAACAGAATCCTAACCTGTTTCCTGGCTTAAAAAAAAAAAAAAAAATCTGAGATAGGGGTCGGCAGGTGGCGTGGTGTTAAGGGTGAGGGATTCTCATATGACTGACCAAGATTCAAGTTTCAGACCTGGTGGCTTGGTTTCTTACTTTCCCTCTCTTTCTTTCATTCTCTCTCTCACTCTGTCCCTCTCTCTGATCAAATTAAAAAAAAAAGTTAAATAAACTAAAAATCTCAGATGTCAGCACCTAGAATTAACTTATGTTAGATGATACTTCTGTTTCTAAGTAGCCATGTAACTCAGCTTAATGATGGATCCAGGGCTTTTGAACTCCCTATGCCAGCTCAGGGGACATCTTGCCTTACCATTCGTGTTCACGTGAAGTCTTCTCCTGGGAAGACCTGGCAGGTCTACAACGCATGCATCCGGCTGAGAGACACAAGGTAAGTTAGATTTCCTTCACTCACATCTGTTCTGGGGGACACAGGTATGAGCAAATCGTTAATATTCCTCTGTAGTTCTATGTTTTTTTTTTTTTTTTTTAAAGCAAACTTGAGATGTTTTCAACCCTAAGTCTTGTCGACTCACTAAATTCTCAGCATCATTTTCTACGAACATCTACACAAACACCGGATATAGCCAATGATGGCAAAAGGAATAAAATCTCAAGATTTACTACATTCATGAAATTTGTGCTCAGGGAGACTTTCTTGAAATGCATTATTAGAGATGTTCATTTCATATCTAATATGCAGGACTGAGTAACATCAAGACTTTAGAGACTGCTTATAATAAGCCATTTGGATTTGAGGTTTTGTCTGCACCCATAGACAAACGTGTATTACAAGATGAACTGGCAAATCCTTGAAATAGTGCTTACATCTGGAGAAATACAAGCATTGTTTTTTTCCTGAAAGGGAGGGGGCAGCTGTGATGAGATCTTTACATTGTGATCTTTCTCCCAGGCCGGTCAGCCAGGATCATAGGGCACCTAGTACATTCATGCAGACCCCGGCCCTGAGCCGGGCCTCCCTACATGGCCTCATGTCCTGCAGCAGTGGGCACACTGCCCGTACCACCACGGCTGGGCCTAATTACTTTTTTTTAACCTAGTGTCACATGACCTTTTGTTTTCTTTTCCTCATGCCCCAAGAAGCAGCTGGAGGCCCTTAGCTATGCCCGGCACTTCCAGCCCTTTGCTTGGCTGCACCAGTGGGGTAAGGGCCCAGTTGCTGGGTCTGGTGCTGCCCCAGTATCTCAACAGAGTACTCCCAGATCCCCCTCACTAGCACAGAGGGGTTTATGCATATTATTAGAAATATTGCATAAAACTACTTTGAAGCTATGCATGTAAGTATACATGAAATACAAGTGGATCTCGTTTAGGCTTGGGTCCCATCCCCAAGACAAGTAATTCTATATGTGCAATTATTCCAAGATCCAAACACTTGTGTTCTCAAGCATTTTGGGTAAGAGATACTCAGCCTATAACAACTTTTTTCTCTAGATTCACTCATACTTATTAAATTCTATTTTAGAGTAAATATTATGAGGGGCCAGGAGGTAGCTTAGTACTTAAGGCACTATACTCCCACATGGCCAGTTGTGGTTCAAGTCCTGGATCTGGTGGCTTGCTTTCTCGCTTTCTCCCTGTCTGGTTAGCACATGTGCCCTAAAACCAATTGAAAAATAGTAATTAATAAATAATGTTAAAGAAAAAAAGGTAAATAGTGAAATCTCAAATGGCCCGATTTCAAATTTGTTGATCCGATTTCTTAATGTTCTGTGAACTCTAAGGCTAGGTAAGATCACGGTGGCACATTTTCTTACTCTGCTGAAGACTTATTTTGCCAGATGTTCACCACTATCTCAGTATATGCCTTTTAAAGTAGATGCAGATGTAAGTACTGGTGAAATAGCAATGAAGGCTATCAACGTGGAGTAATTATTTTGGTGGCTCTGAAGTCAGACAATATCATACAAATTTGTTTGGAGCCCCAAAAAGTGATAAAAAAATCCTTTCCTAACCTTGACATACTTAGATCTTGGAGCCAAAGTTTAAATCTAATTTTTGTCTATGCTAGAAAAAAAAAAATACTGTTCCAAGGTAATATAAATGCCAGTGATTTCAGTGTTTTATTCTGTGATTATGAAGCAAACCTGCAGTTTAGTATAACATGGCTAGGGCCAGCAGGTGGCAACGTAGTAAAGGTGCTGGATTCCCATATGGTTGACCATGGTTCCAATCCTGAACCTGGAGGCTTAAAAATCATGTATGTGTGTGCGTGTGCACCCAGAATCCCAGAAGGAACTGCAGCATGGCCATCCCCCTGGAGGGTGATTTCTTACTTTCCCTCTCACTGTCTCTCTCTCCAGTGAGTGCATGCATCCTATGGCAAAACATCAAAACACCTGGAGTATTGTTGGGCAACACCACTAACTCCCTATTTGGAAAGACTAAGTAGGTGATTTTCCTTAGACTTGAGCATGAAATGCCTTTTCTAACGTTTTCACTGAATGCTTACTTTAAATCAGCACAAGCTTTCTCTTAAGCGGCCTGAGGTGATCTTTGAAAATAGTTCACTATTCACTTGACCCAGAGAACCCCACAAAGTCATGCAAATCAAGAGGTTCAAATCTTCACATTCATTTGAAGAACACTTGTGAAATTGCCCAGGCCATCAAAAATATGCATATCTAAAAAGCCACCAAGCATCTGAAGGATGTTACTTTACAGAAGCAGTGCATACCATTTTGTCATTACAATGGCGACTTTGGTAGATGTGCCCAGGCCAAACAGTAGGGCTGGACACAAGGCTGGTGGCTCAAAGAGTGCTATATATATTATTGCTTAAAACGCAGAGAGTAATACTGAGCGTAAGGGGTTAGATGTAGATTCTCTGGTCATTGAGCATATTCAGGTGAACAAGGCACCCAAGATGTCCCATCTTACAGATCTCATGGGTGGAGGATTAACCCCTGCATGGGCTCTCCCTGCCACATTAAGATGATCCTCACTGAAAAGGAGCAAATTGTTCCTGAACTGGAAGAGGAAGTCGTACAGAAGAAAAAGATATCCCAGAAGAAACAAATACTTACGGCATCGGAATAAAGTCGGCATAAAATAAATGTAGCTAAAAGTAAAAACACACACACACACAGAATAACATTTTTGTATTTTGTTTTTAATAATTTAATCACAATATAAACATTGCTTCAGTTTCTCACACATGCAATTTCTTAATTTCAATGTGTATCTTCCTATCTAGATACATGTCTATGCCTGTATATCTCCCTATATTCATGTCTGCCATTGGTAATTCTGGTCTGATTAACTGGAGATCAGGATGACTACCTGAGGTGACAGCAGGAGAAAGTAGAGTTATTATAAAGCATGTTGGATCCTTGTTCACTTTTGCTAATGATCAGATATGGACAGCAGCTTGAAAATAATAACAACTGGAATTCCTGAGCATATCTTAAAAATATACTATACAAATATTAGCCGTGGCAGAGAAAAGGGGCTTATATTTAATAGTGTTAAGTTTGAAAACATTCAAATTTCCACAAAGAATAACGCTACAGGAGAAGTATTCAACACAGAAACTTGTATAGGTTTTGGCCACCTTGTCAGGAAAGTATGCTCTAAGCAGCATTCTGAACACCATTAGAAAAAGAAAGATAGCTTCTACAGCTGTTTGAGGTGTTGTAATATGTCTACAGACACTCCTAGCTGTTTAACTAAATTGGCTGTCTGTTCTAAAATCCAGGTGAGGCCTGGGTTTTTGGCATGTGCACGCTCCTCTGTTCTGCCACATCCTACATATGAACACTCTAGCCCAACAGGACTCTTGCTACAGTTTTTGTTATATTCAGCATTGTTTTCACAGAGTCTTTCATCTTCAGCTTCATTGGTCTTTTTATCAGCTTGAACTACATGACAAAGGTCCATATTCTCAATGGAGTCCAATAAATCTACAACATGGGGTTGTGGAGTGATTGATTTCAGATGTTTGAGCACATACTCTTCACACTGGCCAACTGCATCCAGAAGATGATTTATTTTAGTGATTAAAGTTGAACTATTACCATGAAGGTGACACCAGGAGAGCAAAGCACTGAACAAAAATATGAACAAGAATTAAATAGAAAAAAATTGTCACACAATTACAGACTTTGAGAATGTCTGGTAAGTTCTATGTATTTTTCTTTCAGATAACACATACAAAAATGGATTAATAATAATAATGCAAGTAAAAAATCAGGTAAGTAATGATGTTACAGTAAGTTACAGGAACAAAACAAGGATATTACTTTTAATACAAGTTGAGCAACTGTACTTAATTATATAAACTGTTGATAATTCAAGACCCTTCCTTCACAACTCTATTTTCTCCTTGACACCAACAGATGGCATAATGGTTATGTCACCAGACTCCCATGTAGTCAACCGCAGTTCGAGTCCCAGACCTGGCAGCTCGAAAGTCACACTGGGTGTATGTACTTCATGCCCAAAATCCCAAGAGGAGAATGGAGAAGGGACTGCGGTTGTCCCACCCCCCCCTTGCCCCCAGGGAGGTAATTTCTTGCTTTCTATCTCTTTGTCTTTCTCTTTCTCTCTGGTAAGTGCATGCACTCTATAGCAAAAATCTCTCTCTAGGAAAAAAATTAGTTTCTCCTTTAATGACATCAAACAGCTTCTAAACTAGTGACTGCCAATCTTCATACATACTACAATCACCTGAAGGGCTCTTAAACCTATCGAGGTCAAAGTCACGTCCCAGACTAGGCATATCAGAATCTCTAGTAATACCTTTTTCTTTTAGACAGAGAGGGTGCAAGTGAGAAATCACCCTTTAGGGGCGATGGCCACACTGCACTCTCTTCGCTTTCATTCTCCTCTTAGGATTTTGGGAACACACACACAGACACCTGGTGTGAGTTTCAATCCACTGGGTCCAGGACTCAAATCGCAGTTGGCTATGTGGAAATTCAGTTCCTTAACCATTATGGCTTAACCAGCATCTTTTTCTAAAGCTTCCCAAGGTGATTTCAAGGTGTAGACAAAGTTAAAAACCACTGTTTTAAGCATATACTTGTTCGCCATCAAGACTGAAGGCTAGAGAAAAAAGTTCTGAAGAAACTTCACTATATTAGGTTTGTTACTGAGTAGATTTTGTTTGCCTAGCTACTAACAATGTTCTTGAAGAAGGTAAAAATTCTTCTAGTCCTAATAGATTTAATATGATTCAGTAGTAAGCTTTCTAGACATGTAAAAGATTTAACTATTGGGTCATCTGAAAAATCATGATGCATTTTTTTCATAGAAATATATAGAAAAATACATCATGACTTTTCCAATGACCCAGCAGGTGACTTGAGGATGAACACTTGATCATTTTTCTCCTGTAATAAACTGTCCCTCACCGCTGAATTTTCTAAATCCTCAAACACAATAAACTTTTTTTTTTTTTTTTTTTAAATAGGGACTTTCTGGGGCCAGCAGGTGACAGAGAGATTAAGGTGGCTGGGTCCCACATAGCCAACTGTGTGATCTGAATCCTGGAGCAGGCGGCTTGAAAATCATGCTTTCTCACTTTCCTCTCTCCCCCTCTCTCTCCAGCAAGTGCATGGACACTATAGTAAAAGTACCACACACACAAATTAGAGACTCTTTGAAGCATTTTGTGTATATAGTTTAAAAGACATAAAGCATCAAAGAAGACAAAGTTGAGGTGCTCCTAGTTCCATGTCATTTGACCACACATGCTCACCACACTCTGTAGCACTTGTTTATAAACTGAAAAGCACTTGAAACACTTTATTTTTATTCTTTAATTTTTTTAAGAGAGATTTTTACTATAGAGCATGTGCACTTGCCAGAGATAGATAGAAAGCAAGAAATTACGCCTCAGGATGGCTACGCTGCAATCCCTTCTTCTCCATTCTCCTCTTGGGATTTTGGGAACACATACACATGTACTTGGTGTGAGTTTTAAGTTGTTGGGTCCAGGACTTGAACCGTGGTAGACTATGTGGGAGTTCAGCAACATAACCATTATGCCATTGGTTGGTCCCAACACTTTACTTTTATACACTACTTTCATAAATACCTCCAGTAGAATTGAGGTTAAAATGATCCAGCATTGGGAAAGGCAGATGGCATAATGGTTACATCGCTGGACTCCCATGTAGTCAACTGCAGTTCAAGTCCTGGACTGGCGGCTTAAAAACTCATGCTGGGGACCAGCAGATAGCGTAATGGCTACGTTGGTGGACTCCCATATAGTCGATCGTGGTTCAAGTTCTGGACCCGGTGGCTTAAACTCATGCTGGGTGCGTGTGAGTGCGTGCCCAAGATCCCAAGAGGAGAATGGAGGAGAAGGGACCACGGAGCATGGCCATCCCTCTGGGGGGGTGATTTCTTGCTTTCTTCCTCTCTCTCTGACTTTCTGGTGAGCACAGGTGCCCTATATCAAAACCTCTCAAAAAAACCCCCCAAAAAACCCAAAAAACAAAAACAAACACGCCAGTTGCATGTGTGTGCAATCCCAGAGGAGAATGGAGAAGGGATTACGGCGTGGCCATCCCCCCTGGGGGGTGATTTCTCTCTTTCTGGTGAGCACAGGCGCCCTATACCAAAAACCCCTCCAAAAAACCCCAAAAAACAAAACACTCATGCTGGGTGCGTGTGTGTGCAATCCCAGAAGAGAATGGAGAAGGATTATAGTGTGGTCATCCCCTCTAGCAGGTGATCTCTCACTTTTTGTCTCTCTGGTGAGCACATGCGCCCTATAACAAAAATCTCTCTTTAAAAAAAATCCAGCATTTGAGATTTTTAAAGAGTTTATTTTGGGACCAGCAGGTGGCATGGTGGTTAAGGTGCTGGACACTCCCACATGGCTGACCGTGGTTCGTGTCCTGGACCTGGTGGCTTGCTTTCTCACTTTCTCCCTCTCTCTCTCTCTGATCAAAATAAATTAATAAATAAAATAAAATAATTAAAAAGTTTATTTTAATTAATTATAATTATCATTATTTTAAAATTTGCTGTAGGACAGGTGTGCTTACCAGAGAGACAGTGAGAAAAAGTGAGAAAGTCTGGGACTTGAACTGCAGTTGGCCATGTGTGAGTTCAACGCCTCAACCACCACACCACTGGCATTTAAGTTCTTAAAGTACCTCAATGTTCCTCTGAGCTGTCCGTAGTTGATAATGACTTCTGCACCTTCTTTATAACCTTGATTGAAGCCCTGCTGAAGCGCAACTGCTTTGCCAGCGTCTATTCCATCTCTATAACCTTCCTAAGATTAAGTAATGAAGAATTGCAGCTGTAACTAACACCAAATGAACCATCCCAGGCTTTTCTAGACAGGCATAGAACCAATTTAGAAAACTGATGAAACAGGCCTTTGATATGTTACTGCACATAACATGGCATAAATACATAACCAAAGTAAACCATGCTTCTCATAAAAGCTTATTATTGGTTTATTTTTCCTTATCCCACTTTTGAAGTCTAGATTTACTGGGCAAATTTAAAAATACTGACTCTTGGGACCAGCTGGTGGCGAGGTGGTTAAGGTGCTGGATACTCCCATGTAGCCGACCATGGTTTGAGTCCTGGACATAGTGGTTTGCTTTCTCACTTTCTCTCTCTCTTTCTCTGTCTTTCTCTGGTCACATGAAAATAAGTAAATGAATAAATAAATAAATACATCTTTAAAAATACTGTCTTTCCATCTTAGAAAAAAGAAAAAAAATAAAAATACTGACTCTTACAGTTTTTAAAAAACCTGTGTTAGAAACGTCTTTACAAAGAAGAAACAAAGACTATGTCTGGTCCCTTGGCAACGGTTTGAATTAATGTGGGTGGATGAAGAGTTAGGGTGAAGTGGAGAGACAGCAAACTGGCTTAGGAAAAGGGAGAAGTCTTGTTTTAGAAATTTTGCTTGGGGCCAGCTGGTGGTGTGGTGGTTAGGGTGCTCAGCTCCCACATGGCCAAAAGGGGTTCTAGTCCTGGACCTGGCAGCTTGCTTTCTCACTCCTCCTCATCCCCTTCTGTCTCTTCTGGTCAAATGAAAATAATAATAGTAACAAATAAAATTAAAGTAATTCTTTAAAAAAAAAGAGAGAAATTTTGCTTACTACCTAAATTCAACTAAACTGCAAATTCTCTGTGGGTAGGGACGGTGCCCAGCATCTCCCAGGGTGCCACAGCTCTCAAAAGATGCTCAGTATTTATTGGTCTAGCCCAGACTTTCCGTAGTTGAGTATATGACTCTTGACTAAATAAACATTTTTCCGAAACATTAAACGAAGGTGGATTCCCAACTGCGGCTTCAGGGGCAATTTCCCTGTTGTCAAGTCTATTCAGGGAATGCAGACCTCACCCAGAACTCAGCTCGGTCTCAGAGAAGTGAGGCATACTACAGGAGAGTAGCTCACACCTAGCAGATTCTCCCTCAACTGTCCGTATTAGCTGCCTCCCACTCCCCTTTCACAACATTCTCAAGTTCACCTTTTCCCTGTGTCTCGACTAACAGCACTCCCAGCTTCGGGGTCCCCACCCGCTCACGCCACTCAAGGACGGGGACACACGTCCTCGGACAGCCATGACCGCTTACTGCAGCACGGTCGGTGCACGATCCCCCTGCCCTGCGCTCGGCTGCACACAGCACCTGCCAAGTCCGGGCAGCTGATCTGTGCGGAGCGCGCAGGCGCCGGGGAACCGCGCCCCGGAGTAACCCACCCGGACGCCCCGCAGACGGGGACGTCCCGCAGACGCGGACCCGACTGGCGGCCAAGGGGATGGAGGGCAGCGCCGGGCCGTGGGGGTCCCCCTCGACCCCGCTTCTCCACGACTCCAGCCCCTGTCCCGCACTCGGGTCCCCGGGTCCCCCGAGCCCGCCATACTTTGACTCGTCTTTGCATGTGACTCCGCCATTCCCGCTGCC